CGCCGGTATCCGGACTCGTGGCGTGGAAATGGACCGAACGACTCGATGCGCTGCGGGTTTTCTTGAAGCGCTCCTGTCGTCTCTTTTCAGTGCTGTCTTTACTGCCCTGAGAGCTGTCTTTCTCTCTCTCTCTCTCTCTCTCTCCAATGGCTTTTCTGTTAATTATAAGCCATTTATTTACCTCTTATTATGGTCGGAACATTAAATGAATAAACTTTTCTCATCAGAAAATTTTTCTTTATCTCGAACATTATATTTGTAGCCAAACATTAAAACAAGTCGTTTTATAAATTATAAAGTTTACACAGAATACCCCTATACAGTTCAGTATATTTTAAGACTTCATATCTGTATTGAATAAATTGGTTTTCTCCAAAAAAAAGTTGGAAACCTTTTCGATGGTTAGAAGAAGTGTCTGCTCACATAACTTTCCCCTCTCATCCACTCTCACATAATATATGATTAATTACACGACAATACAATCTTGTTTTTCTCAAACGTTGTTTTACATACCATTAATTATATGTAGTATTAATTTGTTATAAATTACTTATGGTTTGTGTTTTTATAATTATTTATTTTTTATTATGTATCCACAGAATGGTGATACAGCTCTACATATTTCAGCAGCGATGGGTCGCAAAAAACTGACCAGGATCCTATTGGAAGCCGGTTCTAACCCCACCATTCAAAACAAGGTAAATTATCTTGCCTAACATTATTTATATTTTTGTATTTAGTTATATTATTTTAAAACACTTAATATTCATATTTGTGATAAATGTTTTAAGCACTATACAAGCACCATGAACGTATTTATCATTTCGATAACCATTTCCTGTAAATAATGTTAAGCACCGACACCCCTTTGTTGACTTATCAATGATTTCTGAGGGTATTTCTGGTGTCAAAAATCTCTGAACTGAAATTTGTTCAGTGCTTCAAAAATGTTTGTTTTTAATTAGTTAATAATAAGAAAAGCCTTATTAATCACAATATGAATGTCAAGAATAGCTGAGAGTATGACTTGATTTATGTGTCTCATTAGTTACCAATCAGCACTATATAGAGATTAAAATTGGCACTGTATATGGAATTTGTAAAGGATTTTAACAATTTGTTGTTAACTATAAGTTGTTTTTAGTTTTTTAAATAATTATTCATTTGTTGATCAGATGTTTATGAGAGACGTTATAGTGTCAAGCGATAAGCAACTGATATTTTAATCGCAAACTCCTTTCCTATTGCAATGAAAGATAATTTAATATTTATGTAATAATTATGTAATTAATATGAGCCGAAAATATTCCGGTTTATTCTACACTAAATGAGACGGACATTTATGTTATGTTTAGTGAAAATTATACACATCTTCTCAACATATAACTAATTTTCGTTATGCAATGCAAAACATAATTTATCGCTAGAAGAGAGAGAGAGAGAGAGAGGATAATAATGACAAGATGATAATTAAAATGATTATTACATAAGTTTCTTCTAAAAATTGAGTGAATCAAAAAAAGTTGTTGAGAAATTACACTCCTAAAACTCTCACAACAAAACATTAATGAATTAAATATTTCAAATACCACTCATGAATTTAAAACAATCTACAATACTTTATGATTTAAAATTTACATTATTTTATTGACCCAGAACCGATCAGATATTCAATTTATAATTTAATTCAAACTATGTTTCCTTTGTTAGTAAATAAATAAACTATTTCAATTAAATAACATTGATGTAAAAATTATGTAATTTACTGTATTGATTATCCTACTTGTACGTATAATTGAATATATTGATTATCTAAGTTTTAATAACGATTTTACAAAACTTGAACTTAATTTTTAATTTTTTTAAATTTTACTATACTTCAATAAACAATTTTGATAATCTTTTTATCTAATTCCTATGTTTACATCCCTGGCCACTAATAGCAAGGAGAGACGGCAATGAGTATATGCATCAGGAAGTCATACGTCGACGTCCAGGAGATTATCGCAAATCCGCCGCCTTTTAAGTCACCGACTGTTCAGACAAATGGATCTAAAAGTGGGGGAACTGGAGGTCCTGCGAAGAGTGGGTCGAAGCGAGAGAAAGACAGCTCTCAGGGCAGTAAAGACAGCACTGAAAAGAGACGACAGGAGCGCTTCAAGAAAACCCGCAGCGCATCGAGTCGTTCGGTCCATTTCCACGCCACGAGTCCGGATACCGGCGCCGACTCTAAGCCATTGAATCTGTCGAAAAAGTTGTTGAGTGGTTCGTGTGACTGGAGTCCCTATGGGTGTCATATGCATCCCGACGCCAAAGACTTTCCGAAACCAAATTTGGATTCACTGCCGACAGACCCTTTGACAAAAGGGGAACAGTATTACATCGATTTGGCCGGTAATATACGTAAGGGACCGGTGGGCAAGTCATCGAAGTGCTTCTGTCGACCCCTTATACACGGCATGGAAAGGCGTCTGGAGAGAGACAAACAAGAGCTGATCCAACACATAGACACCGCTCACGTAAACCTCACCGAAAAGATCTGTTCGCTCGAGAAGAAAACCCACAAAGAGTTGGTGTCTCTCAACGAAGCCGTTCACCAAAAGTTGGCGCACGAGAGGCAGGACTGCACGGAAAGGCTGCACCGGACGGCCCTCAAGGAACGCATTGACAGCCAAAGGCTTCAGAGGCTGCAGATCGACGAACTCAAGGGTGAAGTGAAATCGTGGTTGACGTCGAAGCTGGACAGCCATCGGCGAAGTTGTACTGATCAGTTGGACAGTCGGCATAGGGATGAGCATCGGAACCATAATTCTCAGAACCAGAATCCATACCATAGCTATAGTAACCAAACGTCAAATGGTTGTCGACCACCACAACAACAGTTGGAGCGCTCGACCAGTCAGGGGAACGTCATGTCAGGGGAACACCATAGCCATAGACCTCAACAGATGAGCGATGAGTTAGACAACGGCCCCACATATAGTCATAGAATAAGCCATCGGTCGGCACATATATGTCGATCCAAATCTGAAATGTATTTAACGGGAAGTGTGGGCACCGGTAGTGAAGACGATGAGGAGGATGAGGATGAAGGCGACGATGGCGTCAATGAAACATTCAGTGGGACGACAGGGACGACCATTCGCGTGAACGCAGAGATTAATCAGGACTTACGTGAGATACCGGTGCCAACAGTTAGTACAACAACAGGATTGGATGTTAAGGAGGAAGAGGATGACTGCGATAGACAGCCTGTCTATGGTTCAGAAGACAATGAAAACCATTGTCAAGAGTTTGAGAGATTAGGCGCTCGTCCAAAACAGCCGGTGCCGCTCACTATACGCACCAGCATTGACACCATTAATGAGGTGAACTCCGGTGTGGTATCGGAGCTGAACAGCGCCAGTAGTTCGCTAGAGATGAGCGTACATAACAAGTCCAATGAAGGACAGGACCGACAGCACCGGGAGGGCTCGGATATGTTGAGCGCTGATGTGAACCTATCGGCCGACCTCATGAAAAGCCTGCGCTGTAACGGCTCACTCACTGAGCACTCGGACTCGCCGTTCAACGACTCCGGATATCGGACAAAGTTTTCTCCGTCACCCCGGGAGGTGCCGGTGCTGTCTCTCACATCACACCATCCAATTCTACAACACCATTCCGGTGCCAATTATCCTAGAAATGTCACACAAATTACATATCCATTACATAATCAACAGCACCTACAGTATGGCCAGGCGTTCGATCCGCCAATTGGGTTGCCTACACATATGCCACGAATACCCGGCCACAACCACCAGAGAAAATTGCAAATACCGTTTCCACATACCAGGCCATTTAATGGACCCAATTCTAGTTTGGTCTGAAATGTCATTCATTCAATTAAAACACATATTATGCAATGTTTAATAGAAATTTATATAAATTTATATACCGTACATATTTTTGTGTTATTTATATAGATTTACGGTAAATGTTTTAACAGTTATTTAATATATAAATTTATAAATAATTGTATTTTAATTCAAAACATATTTCATTGTAATTTAACACATATTATTCAATTCAATCAATCACACAAATAAATTTAAAAATTATTTGTAATTATGTTCTATGGGAATTTATTGATACTGTATCTTAAAATTTTTAGTAATTAGCCCAGAATATTCTCAATATTTAGCTTTAAATTATAAATATTTGTGATACGATTTATTAATTAAGTGACAATCGTTTTGCATTAAAAACTGAGTAATGCATACCAAAAGCTTTAAATTAACAGCTTACGCATACAAGTCTATGAGTAAACTGTTAATTTAAAGCTTTTGGTTTACATTACTCAGTTTTCAATGCTAAACGATTGTCGCTTAATTAATAAATCGTATTACATTTGGTAGAATTCAATCAATTTTTTGGTTTGTAATGGATTTTTATAAACCAATTAATTCAAATCAGGTTAATTATTAAGTTTTTACTGTATTGAATTTATCTAACTATAAAGTGAGAGATACTTATTATACTTAAAGTTACTTATAAAGTTAGTGTGACTTATTACGGTAGTAGAGTATACGTATTTTTTTATTTCAATATCAATTTACCGTAATACTGTAGTATCCCCCAATTATTACCGTAGTAAGTTTCACAATATGTGTATCAAACCAAAAATGAATACAGTAATTTTAAATAAATACCGTAAATTATTTTTAAACACAAGTTTATTTCTAAAATTTTTTTTATTTCATGTTATAAAATATCATTTATAAATTCAAATATATACGGTAAAATGTACCGTATAATAAAATGCCTATAAAAAGTAAAATACATATTTGTATGCAATTAACACCTGATTTCAAAACTCAAACACAACAACCATATGCTTTAAATATGACAATCGCCAAAAATAGTCTGTATATTAATTAAAAATTTTGAGTTTCATTATAGAGATTCCCATAAAAGTAACAAAAATTAATTTTTAAATTATAAAAACGACATTAGTTTTCAGTCATCATATTATTTGATGGCATTTATGTCTAATTATAACTTGTGGATCATTAGAGCCGATGCACCGCCACCTCCGTTGCAAATGGCAGCCATTCCGTACTCATTGGGCTTCAGGTGAAGTGCCAAATGGTTGACAATACGAGCGCCCGAACACCTGTCCCATAAACAACACATATTTTATTATCATTAGCTAAACAATTTCAAAACAATGTCTATTAACATTAAAAATCTAAATCTGTTCATATTTCTAATTTATATTCTAACCGACACTCATATAGTATCAAGGTTAAATTACATAATGCTGTTTATGAAATAGCAACCAAAAATCTTACCCTAAGGGGTGACCCAAAGCAACTGCACCGCCATTTGGGTTGACTTTGTCGGGGTTTAGGTCCAGGTGTTTGATGTTGGCTAAGCCAACGGCGCTGAACGCCTCGTTGAACTCCCAGTGCGCTATCTGTGACTTCTCCACACCAGCCTTGGCTAAGACCTGGGATATACACACAGACAGAGGTTGAGTGGGAAAACCATGACATAAAACAGAGTTACTTTCAATTATTGTTATTATTGTAATTACTTTTCATTTATAATTGTTTGAGATTTTCATTCACTAATTATTGCATATATTGTGCACATAATAAGCAAATGATATAAAAATCTCTGTTTATTATACCAGAACTTAATTACCATTCAGTCCATTAGATTACGGGCTAAATGGACTCAACCGTCTGGCACTGTCCGTCCGTCCCCCTCATAAGTGAGTTCAGGTACGACAGAGGGGAACGGGAGTGCTATCTCACAATTTATTTGTAATTAGTTTTAGCATATTTCATGAACAATACATCACTTATTACAGACTTACGTTCACTTTGATTGACAGTTACTTTTAGTACAGAAATAAGCTATGCATCAATAACACTGTATAGCCTATTAGGACCGCCTTTTTTACTTAATTCCTTATTTTGAACGTAAGTCTCACTTAATATACAAGTATTTTGAATGTGAATCGGAATAAAGGGAATGTCTGTCCGGTTAGGCATACCTTAGGGACGGCATACGCCGGAGCGATACCAAAGTCAGCCGGTTCTACACCGGCGTCCGCAAAGGCCACCACTTTGGCCAACGGTTTGGCCCCAAACTTCTTGACGGCCGCCGCAGACATCAGTACAGTAGCAGCCGCGCCGTCATTCAAGGAACTGGCGTTTGCGGCGGTGATAGTGCCGGTGCCATCCTTTTTGAATACCGGTGCCAATGAGGACATGCGCTCGAAGTTAACTTTCTTGAACTCCTCGTCTTCCGTCACCGTTACGTCCGGTTTACCCCTCTTTCCCGGTATAACCACAGGAACTATCTCTTCGACAAAAACTCCAGCGCCGGCCGCTTTGGCTGAGCGCCGGTAGCTCTGGGTAGCGAACTGGTCCTGGGCTTCGCGGGTCAGCCCATACTTGAGCGCCAGGCCCTCAGTGCAGAGACCCATATGAGTGTGACTGTAGACGTCGGTCAAGCCATCGATGACTATGCCGTCCGCTAAAGTGATGCCTCCGTATGGGGTCTCTCCGCGGGTCTGATAGTATGGGGTTTGGGACATGGATTCCATACCCCCGGCCACCACCACCTGGTTGTCGCCCAAGCGTATGGACTGAGCGGAAAGCATAATGGCTTTCATACCGGAAGCGCACACTTTGTTGATTGTGGTGCAGCCGACGGTCACCGGTATGCCGGCGCCGATCGAGGCTTGTCTGGCGGGCGCCTGACCCACACCGGCCTGCAATACGTTGCCGAAGTACACCTCATCCACATCCTTGCCACTGATGCCGGCCCTCTCAAGCGCCCCTTTAATGGCAATGGAGCCCAACTGGGGGGCCGTTAGGGCTGATAGAGTGCCCCGGAATGAGCCAATGGGGGTCCGCGCCACCGATACTATGAATACATCCTAAGAGGGTGGGAGGGGTTAGGGGGATGGGTAGACAAAAAAGTAGCATGTTCAATAAATAGCAAATGAATATAATTACAAACAATGTATAAATACCTGATTTGTGGTCATAATTGGTTAATACAAGTGCTGTCTATGTATTGATATAACAGTGAATTGATTGCAATTTACAAAATGGTTTGTATTTAGTATAAACTTTCAAACTATTAACTAAACTGTTTGGCAATATATCTGCAAAATAGGTAAAAATAACCCAAACTTAACAGTAAGAGGAAGTTTGCACTTTAATTATCATTTGAATAGTGAATGAGTTTTAATATTTCCTTTTATAAATCATAAGTCAGTTTATATGTGTTTCACTTCATTATAAATTCATCATTTGTTTAATAGTATTACACAGGTATTTAATTTTTATTAATCATGAAACACAGTTATGAGTTTTAGGGCAAACAGTAATGCAAACAATTTTTGCCAACAAATAGTTGACACTAAATGCTACACAAGTTAGCATGTTGCTTTATAAATATATGTGTAAATATGTGTCATACGAATTTTATTTGTAATCATCAGCAATTTAGAAATCAAGTATAATTTATAAATTTTAAATATTGATATTTTAAACTGATTTATGATATTAATATAGTTTTAAAATCTATGAAAACATAAATTGTTTTGACTGTAAGTTACAAAAAGTGGTTATTTTGATGGCTTTTGGAGAAAATCCCGTTTCGAGAGATGGTTTAGAGGACAGAGACATCTCATGTATTGAATACAAACTTCATAAATATCTCACAAATTCAATACTGTATCTCATCGACAATTGAGCAGGTAACTGTACAGTTAGCAGTTTTTGTTTAACTCATATGTAGTTTAGAATCTAAAGTTTAGATATACTTTTAAATTAATTTGTAAGTAAATATTATTTTTTAAACATTTTGTATCAATATATTTATTATTTTTAAAAATAAATTTATTTTCTTTATAACTTCAAAGTTGGTGTCGATTTTATAATAGATAAGATATTTAGAGCTTTTGTACTTTGCATATACTTTAAATTAGCCTTGATAGTCAAGGATTCCTGTGGTGGGTGGGATGGGATGGGGTTAGCCTCACCTCATAATATTCAATATTAGAGATTACATAACATACTCTATATAATCCCATTTGAACTAGGTCTAATAACATTTAATTAATTTGGGAATTCATTAGTTCTAACAATTCTTAAGAATATTCTATTTATGAATATTAATAATGTATTTATGATATTTTAGAAATTTTATGAAAGTTTGTGCACATGTCTATTGAGTTTTCATTTAGATATTTACTTAATAGGAATGATAAATAATATTTATATTATATGAATGTACTATACTATCAATTCATACTGTAATTAATTGTCTTGATATGAGAGCTAATGCTCTGAAAGCACTCAATAGTGCCTTACATTATGTTTCACTATAAAAACTGAGATTTTAGTCCAGAAGTTCATTTATAATAACTTTTGAAAAACTCAGCAAAACATATACAGTAACCAACTTTATATAACTAAATTTAAAATTCATTATTATTGGATTCATTTATATTAATTTATACATAATGTCGGCACTAAATGTGAGTTTAATAATTATGAAAGTATGTTAAATATCATATTAATGTTTGTTTACTCATATACAGGAAGTATATATAGTATCGGTAGCCAGAACTCCAATCGGATCATTCCGGGGCTCATTATCGGCCCTAACGGCCCCTCAATTGGGCTCCATTGCAATCAAAGGAGCGCTTGAGAGGGCCGGTATTAGGGGCGCCGATGTGGATGAGGTCTACTTTGGTAATGCACTGCAGGCAGGTCTGGGACAAGCACCGGCCAGACAAGCGGCACTGGGGGCCGGCATACCCAACACCACTGCCTGCACTACAATCAACAAAATGTGTTCCTCCAGTACTAAAGCCATTATAATCGCCGCTCAAACCATACAGTGCGGCGCCAATCACGTGGTACTCACGGGTGGCACAGAATCCATGTCCAACGCACCCTACTATCACACCAGAGGGGACACACCTTATGGCGGAATCACGTTAAAGGATAGCATAGCTTTCGACGGACTCTTGGATGTCTACACTCAGCTATCTATGGGGTTATGCGCAGAGAATTTGTCTAAAAAGTTAGATATTAGTCGTGCGGACAGTGACGCCCACGCCATCGACCAATACCGGCGCAGTTGTCACTCGTCCCAAACCGGTCTCTACGCCAAAGAGATAGTGGCCGTCACTATAGAGGGCACCAAAGGTTGTCCTCGCGTTACAATAGACACCGATGAGGAACTGTCGCGAGTTATCTACGAGAAGATACCGACTCTGAAAGCGTCGTTCAAAGAGGACGGAGTGATTACCGCTGCGACTACCGGTGCTTTCAGCGATGGCGCCGCAGCGCTGGTACTTATGTCCGGCAAAGCTGTACAGAAATATGGAGTCAAACCGTTGGCCAAGATTGTGGCCACAGCTGATGCCGGTGTTGATCCCATTGACTTCGGACTGGCCCCCTCTTTCGCCGTTCCTAAAGTAGGCTTTCCTAGACATTAGATGCAAATGGATATCATTGACAACAATTATTAACCTTGAATTGTATTATAGCTACTGGAAAAGGCTGGTCTGACAGGGGAACGGATAGCCCACTATGAACTGAACGAGCCGTTCAGTTGTGTGGGTTTAGCTAATCTGAAGCACTTGGGTCTCATGAGTCGCGCGGACAAAGTGAACCCAAATGGTGGTTCAGTAGCGTTGGGACACCCATTGGGGTATATTTGTGTGTTTGTATCCAATTAATTGAAGCTTAATTGTGGTGTTAAATGTATGGCAGGTTTTCTGGCGCTCGTATTGTTTCTCATTTGGCACTGAATCTGAGACCCAATGAGTACGGCGTGGCCTCCACTTGCAATGGGGGTGGAGGCGCCTCCGCTTTGTTACTCCAGAGTATGAGTTAAAGAGTTTGGATATGAATTAATAAGTTATATGTTTTCGTAGTGTTGTTGTTGCATTATATTTTTGTATATTAAATATAATTGTGTATAATGTATCACTTGAATATTTCACTGTTTAAAAATTTATATAAATTTTTATTTCTATAATCAAAATGCTCTATTAGTTATATAATGTTATAACACAAAAATGTTCACTTATTAAAAGAGTTCAAAACTTGATAGAATTATTTAACAATTAAATTAATTTGCATTCTAGTATCTTAAGTCATAAAAGGTTTCTCATTTAAATAGCAATGTTTCTGTATATTTGGCACACATTTGATGATAATAATGAATAATGAATACAGTAGAATATAACAATACCATATAAATAAATTTTCTAATTCTAATTATATTCTACTGTAGTAAGAAATCTACTGTACTGTACAGTGCAGTATATCATACATGTAGTTAACAATAAAATTGTAATATTTAAATGTGTGGGAATGTGTGACAAGAGTTTGTTATTTAAAATATACAAAATATACTTTTAATACTACAGTACTGTATACTATACAGTGTATTTCTACAGTAATATATCTGTACTGGAAATGTAGTGTATTCTGTGCTATTCATAGAGTGTTGTAACATGCGAAATATATGATATAGCATGAGAATTCTCTGTAGACAATTTTCATTCATTTGTATCGAGAATTTCTATATAGATTTAAATGTGTTTGTATTTGAATATACATGGATATTTGTATGGAGAATGAGTATGCTGCTAAATAATAAATATAGTAGTTATTGTGGTGTATTTTGAAAACATTGCATCGA